TGTTGGGGAACGTTGCAGAAAACAAAAATTTTCCTACTCGTTTCACCAAGATCATCTAGGAGTTCATCTAGCAACGAGTGATTAGATGCATCTACATACCTTTGTAGATCGCGAGCGGAAGCGTTCAAAGAACGGGATGATGTAGTCGAACACGACGTGATCCAAATCACCGGAGATCCTAGCACCGAACGGACGGCACCTCCGCGTTCAACACACGTACGGAACAGCCACGTCTCCTCCTTCTTGATCCAGCAAGGGAGGGAGGAGAGGTTGAGGGAGATGGCACCAGCAGCAGCACGACGGCGTGGTGTTGATGGAGCTGCAGTACTCCGGCAGAGCTTCGCTAAGCAATAAGGAGGTGGAGGAGGTGTTGGGGAGGGAGAAGGAGGCAACCAAAGGCCAAGGACTCAAGGTATGAAGTCCCTCCTCTCCCCCACTATATATAGGGGTGCCAAGGGGGGGGTGGCCGGCCCTAGGAGATCCAATCTCCTAGGGGGTGCGGCGGCCAAGGGGGGTTTCCCTCCCCCCCAAGGCACCTAGGAGGTGCCTTACCCTCCTAGGACTCTTTCCCCTTTGAACCCTAGGCGCATGGGCCTATGTGGGGCTGGTGCCCTTGGCCCAAGCAGGCCAAGGCGCACCCCCTACAGCCCATGTGGCCCCCGGGGATGGGTGGCCCCACCCGGTGGGCCCCCGGGACCCCTCCGGTGGTCCCGGTACAATACCGATAACCCCGAAACTTGTCCCGATGCCCGAAACAGGACTTCCCATATATAAATCTTTACCTCCGGACCATTCCGGAACTCCTCGTGACGTCCGGGATCTCATCCGGGACTCCGAACAACATTCGGGTTACTGCATATACATATCCCTACAACCCTAGCGTAACTGAACCTTAAGTGTGTAGACCCTACGGGTTCGGGAGACATGTAGACATGACCGAGATCGCTCTCCGGTCAATAACCAACAGCGGGATCTGGATACCCATGTTGGCTCCCACATGCTCCACGATGATCTCATCGGATGAACCACGATGTCGAGGATTTAATCAACCCCGTGTGCAATTCCCTTTGTCAATCGATATGTTACTTGCCCGAGATTCGATCGTCGGTATCCCAATACCTCGTTCAATCTTGTTACCGGCAAGTCACATTACTCGTACCGTAATGCATGATCCCGTGACCAAACACTTGGTCACTTTGAGCTCATTATGATGATGCATTACTGAGTGGGCCCAGTGATATCTCTCCGTCATACGGAGTGACAAATCCCAGTCTCGATCCATATAAAACAATAGATACTTTCGGAGATACCTGTAGTGCACCTTTATAGTCACCCAGTTACGTTGTGACGTTTGATACACCCAAAGCACTCCTACGGTATCCAGGAGTTATACGATCTCATGGTCGAAGGAAGAGATACTTTGACATTGCAAAAACTCTAGCAAACGAACTATACGATCTTGTGCTATGTTTAGGATTGGGTCTTGTCCATCACATCATTATCCTAATGATGTGATCCTGTTATCAATGACATCCAATGTCCATAGCCAGGAAACCATGACTATCTATTGATCAACGAGCTAGTCAACTAGAGGCTTACTAGGGACATGTTGGTGTCTGTTATTCACACATGTATTACGATTTCCGGATAACACAATTATAGCATGAATAAAGACAATTATCATGAACAAAGAAATATAATAATAATGCTTTTATTATTGCCTCTAGGGCATATTTCCAACAAGTGTAACGTCCCAAGACCGGAGCTTCAGATGCCTTCCATGGGTTCCGAGATTCGTTGTGTGATTTGTTTTGCTTGTTGCACTCATCTTTGCATCATGTGCATTGCATCATGTCATCATGCCATCTTGCCATTTCATTTTTTTAAAACTCAAACAAATGGCATGGATCTCTGATCCATTTAAATCGAGGGAGTTCACATGATGAAATTCTCTTTATAACATATAAAGGTTTCCTACTATTATTAAGGAGCTATTATAAAATTTTGCATCCTTATGGAATCAACCAAAACACACTTGCATCTTTCTCTCTTGACACCAAATCCTCTTCTAGTTGAAACCCAATCACTAGCTTATTTCCTTCAAATTTACCCATTTGTTGCAAGTGACATTTTTCTGTCACATAAAAATGTTCATTCTTTCCCTATTAATCTTAAACCATGCCTACACCCTCCCTGTCAAATTTCATCTCATTTGGGTTTGGTCTGGTTGGGTTCAAAAATGGCTCAAGTTTGAATTAAATTCAAACTTGAATTATTTTTCTATCTCTAAAAATTGTCAAACCATTTTATTCTATTTGTGCAAAGTTCCAGCGCTCCAAGAATATTTTATTTTCTGAAATATTCCATCCCTAACCCTATCTTTCTATTTTCTTCTTCTTCTATCTATTTTCTTTTCTCTTAATGGCTAAGAGAAGAGAGTAGAGAGAGAGAGCCCAGCCGAACTGGGCTCAAGCAAGGCCCATCCAGCCAGCAGGCCTCTGGCCACTTCCCTCTCCCTGGGCCGGCCTCCAAGGCCCAGTCTCTCCCCTGCTCTAACCCTAGGCGCAGCCGTTCCTCTGCTCGATCCACTCCCCATCTCCCTCCCCTTGCGCCGCCACACACACACATCGCACCAGGGAGAGCACTGCTCGATCCCCATCTCCCCCGCGTTGGCCTCTCCTTCCCCCGCTCCCTTTCGTCCTCCTCGCGAAGCCCCGCCTGCTCCCCTCCCTCTTTCCTCCATGCCTCAGCCACCTCCTCACCCGCTCCTCCTTCCCTTGCCGCCGCGCTGGCCATCAACTCCGGCGAGCGCAGCCTCCGCGCCCGAGCTGCTCTGCTGCTGCTCTTCTCGCGCGCCGCCGGACCTCCCCGTCGCCCACGGCGACGACCAGCGCTCCTCGCCTCGACCTCGCCGCCAGCAGCAGCAGCAGCAGCTGCACCCTCTCGCCGCGCCGCGCCCTCAAGTTCCTCGCCCTGACGCGCCCCTGGCCCTACTTCTCCTCTGCGCGCCATGGCCTTGGCCCCTCTGCTCCGCCCGTCGCCTCTGCTGCCCTCCTCGACGTCCTGCTCGACCTCTCCGTGGGCCACGGATGTGTGCTGTAGCCTGCCTTGCTGCTGCCCACCCGAGGCCTCCTTGGTCTTGCTTCAATTTGGTTTCGATCGACAAGTTCCTCTTCACCGAACGTCCACAAGACCGCAACCGGGACCTTGTTCTGCTACGTTTTGGACACGCCGAGTTCCTCGAAGGCCACCGATGACTAGTATGTCTCAAGACCCGGACCGACAAGTACCACGATGCCCGGAGCCCTCGGATCCGTCAAGTTCGACTACCCTTGTGTGTACCACTACCGTCGCCCCAAAGATGTTGGAGTCATCAAGTACCTCTCCGAACGAACGTGAACGACTACCATCGCAAGAACAGGACCGGCAAGTCCGAAGACCCCAAGTACCACGACACCGATAACATGAACATCTACGGAATGTGTACGTCTACGCGATGTGACGCCAAGTTCGATGACGACCGTGTACCACTACCGCTCCTCAAACATGAACGACTACTTCCTCTTCGACTCGTGAACCTCTACTTCCACTACGATCCGCGAGTACCACTACTTCCACTACGAACTCGAACCGCCGCAAAAACGCACGCTTCAAAGGTATAACGCCGAGACGGCGCCCGTGAACGAATGCATGTGTGGTGTATGAGATGCCCGTGTTTGCTCCGTGTCCGAGTTGTTCGTTGCACGAAGCCCCTCTTTTGCCTTGCCACCGTCATATAGGACACCCGGTAATCGGGAGCACCCCACCATCCTTGCATGACACGCTCCCGTCACTTTTCCTTTTGCACCGGTATCTCCATGAGCTACCGGAACCGATATGTTGCCGTGGCATCATTTTCGGATTCGTTGCCGTGGCACCCCTTTCATTTCCGCCACGATGACAAATGCTTCATATCTTGCTATGGGAACATTTTCATAAAAATTGCATAAACTTGCATATGCCATCCGCATCATGATAACAACATTTAAAATGTTTAAATTGTTGTTTGCTTTAAATTGCTAAATGCATATGGGGATTTATCGGACTTGTTGCTTGTTGTTCCGGCCTCATTTAAACTTGCCTAGATAGGTAGTTTTCGTATGTTTCACCTCTTGCCTTGATTAACAACATTTAATATTGATGAGTACATAACCGAGAGAGAACTAAATAAGTCATGTGGTGTTTCGTCAATATGCAACTCGTTGCATATTGAGCTCCACTTAATTTGTAGTTTTGTTTGTGCACTTTGTCATGCCATGCCATGAATAATTAAACCGGACATGCATCATACTTGGTTGTGCATCATGCCATGTTTATGTGATGGTTGTTTACTATGTTGTTCGCTTCTTTCCGGGTTGCTTCTCTCGTTAGCTTCGGTTCCGTTCTGGAGTTGTGAGGATTCGTTCGACTACGTCTATTTGTCTTCTTCATGGACTCGTTCTTCTTCCTTGTGGGATCTCAAGAGAGATGACCATACCCTCGAACTCACTTCTATCTTTGCTTGCTAGTTGTTCGCTCTATCACTATGTCGCGCTACCTACCACTTGTTTATCATGCCTCCCATGTTGCCATGTCAAGCCTCTAACCCACCTTTCCTAGCAAACCGTTGTTTGGCTATGTTACCGTTTTTGCTCAACCCCTCTTATAGCGTTGCTAGTTGCACGTGAAGACGAAGTTTGTTCCATGTTGGAACATGGATATGTTGGGATATCACAATATCTCTTATTTAATTTAATGCATCTATATACTTGGTAAAGGGTGGAAGACTCGGCCTTATGCCTGGTGTTTTGTTCCACTCTTGCCGCCTGATGAGCCACAAGTATAGGGGATCTATCGTAGTCCTTTAGATAAGTAAGAGTGTCGAACCCAACGAGGAGTAGAAGGAAATGATAAGCGGTTTCCAGCAAGGTATTCTCTGCAAGTACTGAAATAAGTGGTAACAGATAGTTTTGTGATAGGATAGTTTGTAACGAGCAACAAGTAACAAAAGTAAATAAAGTGCAGCAAGGTGGCCCAATCCTTTTGTAGCAAAGGACAAGCCTGGACAAACTCTTATATGATGTAAAGTGCTCCTAAGGACACATGGGAATATCGTCAAACTAGTTTTCATCACGTTCATATGATTCGCATTCGGTACTTTGATAATTTGGTATGTGGGTGGACCGGTGCTTGGGTGCTGCCCTTACTTGGACAAGCATCCCACTTATGATTAACCTCTATTGCAAGCATCCACAAATACAACAAAAGTATTAAGGTAAACCTAACCATAGCATGAAACATATGGATCCAAATCAGCCCCTTACGAAGCAACGCATAAACTAGGGTTTAAGCTTCTGTCACTCTAGCAACCCAGCATCTACTTATTACTTCCCAATGCCTTCCTCTAGGCCCAAACAATGGTGAAGTGTCATGTAGTCGACGTTCACATAACACCACTAGAGGAGAGACAACATACATCTCATCAAAATATCGAACGAATACCAAATTCACATGACTACTAATAGCAAGACTTCTCCCATGTCCTCAGGAACAAAAATAACTACTTACAAAGCATAAACATGTTCATAATCAGAGGGGTATTAATGTGCATATAGGATCTGAACATATGATCTTCCACCAATTAAACCAACTAGCATCAACTACAAGGAGTAATTAACACTACTAGCACCAATCCCAGACTTGGAGACAAGAATCAGATAGAAGAGATAAACTAGGGTTTTGAGATGAGATGGTGCTGATGAAGATGTTGATGGAGATTGCTCTCTCCCGATGAGAGGAGCGTTGGTGATGACGATGGCGATGATTTCCCACTCCGGGAGGGAAGTTTCCCTGGCAGAACAACCCCGCCAGACCCCTAGATTGGTTCCGCCAAGGTTCCACCTCGTGGAGGCGGAGTTTCGTCCGAGAAGATGGCTTATCATTATTTTTCCATCGAAAGAGTCCATATAGCAGAAGATGGTCACCGGAGGGCCACCAGGGGGCCCACGAGGTAGGGGGCGCGCCCAGGGGGGTAGGGCGTGCCCCCCACCCTCGTGGGCAGAGTGTGGCCCCCCTGGTGAAGTTCTTGCGCTCAATGTTTTTTTTATATTTGGAAAACATCATCCGTGAAGTTTCAGCACTTTTGGAGCTGTGCAGAATAGGTCTCTAATATTTGCTCCTTTTCCAGCCAGAATCCCAGCTGCCGGCATTCTCCCTCTTTATGTAAACCTTGTAAAATAAGAGAGAATATGCATAAGTATTGTGACATAATGTGTAATAACAGCCCATAATGCTATAAATATTGATATAAAAGCATGATGTAAAATGGACGTATCAACTCCCCCAAGCTTTGACCTCGCTTGTCCTCAAGCGAAAAGCCGAAATCGAAAAATATGCCCACATGTTTAGAGATGAAGGTATCGATAGAAATAAAATACGGACATGAGGCATCATGATCATTCTTAGAACAGCAACTTATATAATTCTTGTCATATGATTTCTTATGCTAGAGTAATAATTCAATCACAATATCAAGTATGAATCGTAAACTTCATTGAAAACTAACAAACTATAATCTCAGTCATTGAAGCAATTGCAATTTATCATAACATAGGAAAGAGTCAATGTATAAGAGCTTTTCAGCAAGTCCACATACTCAACTATCATATAATCTTTCACAATTGCTGACACTCACACAATACTTGTGGGTATGGAGTTTTAATCGGACATAGAGAAATATATGGGCTTATAGTTTTGCCTCCCAACATTTTACCTCAAGGGTAATGTCAACAGTAATAGTTCATGAAAACTCACATCCAATTAGCCATATATACCAAGATCTTTCCAACATATTGTGCTTGCCAAAGGATAAAATGTAAAAAGAAACGGTGAAGATCACCATGACTCTATTGCAGTATAGGAGATAAAAGTAAAAGATAGGCCCTTCGCAGAGGGAAGCAGAGTTTGTCATGCGATTTTATGGTTGGATGCACAAAATCCTAATGCGAAAGAACGTCACTTTATATTGCCACTTGTGATATGGACCTTTATTATGCAGTCTGTCGCTTTTATTACTTCCATATCACACGATTGTATAAAGCTTATTTCTATCACACCAATTAATCATACATATTTAGAGAGCAATTTTTATTGCTTGCACCAATGACAACTTACTTGATGGATCTTACTCAACCCATAGGTAGGTATGGTGGACTCTCATGGCAAAACTGGTTTAAGGGTGTTTGGAAGCACAAGTAGTATTTCTACTTGGTGCAATGAATTTGGCTAGCATGAGGGAGAAAGGCAAGCTCAACATGTTGGAGGATCCAAGACAATATAATTTGTCTTGGATGTAAGAAAGCATAACCCATTACGTTGTCTTCCTTGTCCAATGTCAACTCTTTAGCATGTCATATTTTAATGAGTGCTCACAATCATAAAAGATGTCCAAGATAGTATATTTCTATGTGAAGACCTCTCTTTCTTTATTACTTCCTATTAATTGCAACAATGACCAAAACTATGTTTGTCAACTCTCAACAACTTTTATTCATCATACTCTTTCTATGTGAGCTCATTACTCTCCATAAGAGTCACATGATCTCTTTGTTTCTTTTTATTTCTTTCTCTTTTCTTTTATTCACTTAGGATCATGGCAAAATAATCAAGCCCTTGACTCAACATTAATCTTTATTATATAGCTACAACAGACTCGATTACATAGAGGGGTAATAAAGCAAAACTCACAACTAGATCATACTAAGTGTTTTTATTCTACTAGATCAAGATATTACCAAAAGGATCGAACTAAGAAAAACGGTAAAGATAAAAGTGATGGTGATACGATACCGGGGCACTCCCCCAAGCTTGGCAGTTGCCAAGTGGAGTGCCCATACCCATGTGATTATGTCTCTCTTTTCGGGGATGGTGATGTGATGTTCTTGGCGATGATGCCCCTCAAGATACGATTCTCCTCCTCAAGCTTGTTGACTTGC